ATATAAATAATTATATTTTAGCTCATTTGTGGCACAGTGCAGCGGCGGGCTGGATGAACTGACCTCGCGGGCAGTAGTTTGGTGACCCCTGCGCTAGACTATGACATCCGGGAACGTTCTTTCCCAAAGTCTACATGTTCGCTTAATTAAGTAGACTATGCTTACACTCTTTACAAAAACAGGTAAATAATAATACAAATTTATAACGTTCTAGTTACGAAAAGTCAAAATTACAGCAATAAAATACCATCCATCCCTCTTCACTTTTATGAAAATCGGGAATATGTTGATCTGTTATTTAATCTGAAATTAGATGGTCACTCAATTTAAGACAGTACATAGAATATGGTCTCTATCATGTACAAGATTAAATACGATAGTTATGTATACCAGTGCTCGTTCCTGCCCAAGCTACACTTTTACCACTTCCACTTGCCTGGTTCCAGGTTCTCTCTAAATTAATATATTCTGTTATGTGGCGCAAATTTTCTGTAAAATGGATATTGCTTCAGATGTTGTTGGTTCACTGGACGTGTTTTGAGCAGACGAACTGTTTCCTGCGAGTGGAATGTATCTCTGGGTGTTTGTGGCATACAAATCTGCATTGTTTGTTTCTAGTGTGAAGTTCCAATTGCGAACATATGATTCAATCAGGTAATCGACGACTGTAGTATGCAAGAACTATTGAATCGTAATCGTCAGCTTGGATTATTGATGGTGGTCTGTTTAGTAGATCATGTATCCAAGTTTAGTGATGGTTTAAAAGTATGATTCACTTTAAAGTGATAACTGGGACAAGCTGTGTGAAACCACTACATATTGAACACAGACTGAATGGCGAACAATTTGTGTTTCACATTACGTGATCATCAGATGCCCGATTTCCATAACAACGAACCGTGATTTTACCTCGTCATAGCTATATCATTATCAATTCCGATTCTATATTGTTTTGTGCAGTTTACTGATGTGTACACAGCTGAGGTGTTTTAGTTTACAACAGTCCCAACAACAGTTCCAGTAAGCCCCATATATCCAAGAATGCCACATACTTGGAACACTCCGACTACAATCAACGTATTTTCCCCCTTTTCGAACCCTTGTGTTACATCACGTAATGTTTCTAGATATACATATTTCCAAAGTTACGACAAATCTTTGGATATAAAAGATCATTTACGAATCTTGAGGGCCTAACCCATTCTACAACTGATGCTTTGTCTGTAACGATTATAAACAAGGCAAATAAAATGCCAGTCATTCCTCTAGTGTTTAGTAAACACATATCAACCGAAAAAATCGTGACAGTATTTATATTAAATTAATAAAATATATTAAATCAACCAAAGACAAAAAAACTTGCTGCAACAATACAGAGCGAGTTTGGTTCGACCCAAACAGATTAATAATCTCCTTACCAAGTGACTTTCATACCTATTTACAAACGTCTCCTTCGAGGAACGTTTTGCTACAAGGTGAGAGACGAGCAGTCACAGCCGAACATTTCTTGTGAGGCGTATGTGACGTACAGGAAACCGTCTTCGTCTTTATTTTCTATGTAGATTTCCGACAGCGTTCTAGACATACTCGCCATGCTCTTATTGTCGATGATAAGGTAGAAGGCTTGATTTGCGCCTATGCTGAGTCGGTTCCTGCGTTAAGATTATGTAAAAACAAAAGAAAGTCTTTTAGGTTCAAAGAACGTCGAAAATAGAACACAATCATTTGAAACATTTTATTTCTATCTTAAAGTTACTCAATATCTAAAATAATATGACTTGAAGAATCATGGTTTTACGCAAAAGGTCGTTATTGGATATTGTTGCGTCAGCGAGGTCACGTGACTAGTATCACGCCACGTCTTTCTAGAAATATCCTGTTCCTTCATGAATGGCCTAGCATTTACTAGACATGTGTTAGTCTTGTATATATACGACGTTCACAACGTGACGGGGAACAGTGTAATGAGTAATTGAATGTATGGGGACAGAATATTGTTGGCCACGTGAGACGTGAATTATAGCTTTTGTTATAGAGCGACTGTTGAAATTAAGTGTATCGTAAAGTTGTATTCTGAAAGAATAAACCAGTTTTATTTAAGAAAGGATTTGTGTCGCTAAAGTTTAGTCGGAAACAATTTACTGAAAATTAATTAACAAACGGAGACGTAACAATATAATATGGTGTGGTTGACATTATGATATACTTTACCTACTTTTGTTCAGAATTTCTTGTTAACAGTTATCAAACTTTTAAAGAGAAAGATAAATGTCAAACAGAATTTATTGAAAAATATCAAACACAAGAAAGCTGAAATAAGTGAAAAAAGAAGATAAAAATAAAAGGCATTTTTAGTTCAAAGAAAATCGTAGAATAAACAGTGTGGTAACGTTTGAGTTTTTTTTTTAACACAAATTTACTTATTTAATGCTACATTAATGTATTTCTTCTTTATTTTTCATGAAAACCATTTGTTCTAGTAATATGATCATCCAAAATGACCAATTCTGTTTTCTCATGTTCTAACAACTGAAAATGTACAATCACGCGTTCGCGTATCCTGACAGCTCAAAATATCCAATCATGCATTCTCTTATCCTGACAGCTCAAAATATCCAATCATGCGTTCTCCTAACTTGACAACCCAAACTGATGTTTTAAGTTCACATAAAACGACCAACCTTGGCTCTTATAGCCTAACAACCCAAAATGACTAAATTTGAAGTTTTGTGAACTGACAAATCAAAATGACCAATCTAATGTTTTAATATGTTGGTAAAAGAAAATAATTAAGTTTAGATCCATTAGCAGGAAATGATAGATAATAATGCTCACACTGACGTGGAGGACCTGTACGTTCTATATGGTACATGAAGTCACAAACCCAGACAGAGGTTCGTGTGCCCTACGGTTGGAAGTAAAACTTTGTGTCTATTTGAGCAACAAAGAACATGAACACCAAAACTTCTTTAGTTGAATTTAATACACACAGACGTCGGGGCTCTGCCTAACGAACAGACGCTATGCAGTATTAGATCTAGGATTGCTAAAATAATTCATTGTTCTGATAGGAAAGCTTCATTAGTTATTGTATTTTGGCACTTATGTATAAAGTTAAAATCATAAATAATATTCAACGTTAAACTGGTACACAATTAAAAACATTTTATTTAGGCCCATCTATGGCTTTCAAAAATTTGACGACTCTACATGTTTCACCGTTACAACGTTAGATAGGCCTAAATGAATTTTTTTTTTTTTATTGTGTAACAGTTTAACGTTGAATATTATTTATGTTTCTAGCTTCATTAGTATTTTGGATTCATGTTCGATGCAATTATTCCAGGTTGGTTTATAGTGAGAAATCTATTTCCAATTACACTGGGGAGTTTAAAAAAGTTCGATTGACAATGTATTACATACGTATTTCGTGTTCTCATGTAAACTGTCCTTCGAGAAGTATTTTGTTAGAAGGTGAGAGGATTGTTATAGAGTTCCCCAATGCTACAAACACTGATGGTACTTCGATATTTATTAAAAGTAAAGAGTACCCCAAAGAGTATAGAGTACCCCAATGCTACAAACACTGATGGTACTTCGATATTTATTAGAAGTTTCGATTCGATTTACCGAACCAATTGATTTGATTTTACCTGTTAAGAAAATAAAAACGATTTAGGAAAACCCTAACCATGTGTGTTGGAATCTTTTCTTTCAGTATTATGATTAAAAATTCCATTCAGCTAAATACATTTTGGATTGTTGCCTATCGCACTATAGTGATGATATGTACATAGCTATTCCTAGAACAAGCATTTTGTATTATTTCCTGGAGTACAATAACGATAATATTTGCATGATCGTTTGTAACATGGATAAAAAAGAAGAAATTTAGATTAAAAACACCAGGATGAATCTTTATTAATTCTCATTCTTATGAGAAACTGGTATGTCTGTAAGAAACAATACTTGAAAAATAAGTTATTTATTTATTTAGTTCTTATCAAATCAAATGCTTAACTTAAATTCACGTTTTCAATAACAATGTACACGTACTTCGGCTTGTAACTTGCTACTCGGTCGTAGCCAAAGGACGATGAACCTTTCTTGATAAGAACAGTTCTGATGATTAGGGCAGACAGAGGTGAGAAGTCGAGAAAACAATGCTTTGAGAAATGATAAACCTTCAAAAGTACAAACTGTTTGTTTGTTGGTTGGTTGGTTGTTAAGCACAAAGTTACACAATGAATTATCACTACTCTGTCCACTGCGGGTATCGAAACTCGATTTTTAGCGTTATAAACTCTTAGACTTATCTCTGTATACTAAATAAAACTAATTATTAGCATTGAATAGTTAGAAATTATTCCAAGACCGGAAAAACCCATAAAACACAATCCGTAGAGTTAAACATGAAGAGGTTTAATGGTAGATTGAGTATACAGCTTGAAACGTTGTCTCAGTACATCTAATAGTGTAGAAAACTAAGCCGCGTGAACACCTAACAGTGTGGAAACTGTGCCACCCGAATATTTCATAGCGCGAAAAATTTGCCACGTGAACATTTTATTGTGTGGAAACTGTGCCACGTGAACATTTTATTGTGTGGAAACTGTGCCATGTGAATATTTCATAGTGCGAAAACTGGGTCACGTGAACATCTAATTGTGTGAAAACTAGGTCACGTGAACATCTAATTGTATGAAAACTAGGGTCACGTGAACATCTAATTGTGTGAAAACTAGGTCATGTGAACGTTTCATAGGGTGGAAACTGGACCACTTGAACGTATCATAGCGTGAATTTGGTTTGTTTTGAATTTCGCGCAAAGCTACACGAGGGCTATCTGCGCTAGCCGTCCCTAATTTGGCAATGTAAGACTAGAGGGAAGGCAGCTAGTCATCACCACTCTTTTTTACCAACGAATAGTGGGATTGACCGTATCTTTATAACGTCTTCACGGCTGAAAGGACGAGCATGTTTGGTGTGACGGGGATTCGAATCCGCGACCCTCAGATTGCGAGTCGAGCGCCCTAACCACCTGGCCATACCGGGCCATAGCGTGGAAACTGGACCGCGTGAACGTTTCATAGCGTGGAAACTAGGCCGCGTGAAAGTTTCATAGCGTGGAAACTAGGCCGCGTGAAAGTTTCATAGCGTGGAAACTAGGCCGCGTGAACAACTAATAGTGTAGAAACTAGGCCGCGTGAACAACTAATAGTGTGGAAACTAGGCCGCGTGAACAACTAATAGTGTGGAAACTAGGCCGCGTGAACAACTAATAGTGTGGAAACTAGGCTATGTTGAAGACCTAATAGTGTGGATTCAAAAAATAAATTAGTGATTCAGTTACATATGTTATAAAAATGCAAGGTCTACGATTCGAGTTAGAAAACTTCACGGAACATGCCTTGTACCAGTGCTACCCAAACTATATGCAACGGAATTTTTGCAATTATCAAGTTTGTTTTTTTATTCAGTAATGTAAATTTATTATTAATTTAACATTCTTTTGAATTTAAAATTTGATTTGTTTTCTCTTTCATACACAGTATAAGAGTAATTTCTGCCTGTCTTAGTCAGGGGGGTGCCACTAGGCCTGCCATACGGACTTATTTACATGTGACGCAAAAGTTTGGGACATTCAAAGTGTGCTGCGAGATGAAAAAGTTTGTGAAGCACTGTCTTATGCAGTGGTAGAAGTGTTACAACTGTGGTAGGCATTTGCGCTTTTGGTTAACAGTAGCAATATAAGTGGCGGTGTGTTGAGTGACTGCCTTCCTTCTGGACAGCAATTCTACATTTAGGGGTGGCTACGCTTAAATATTAAGAGTCCAAAATAAACGCTAAAGTTGGACTTCAACTAATGGGTATTTTCCCTCAACCCCACCGAATGTTAGGGATGTTTTATAACCATTTATTGTGAAGAGAGGAGAAGTAGTATTGTTACGACAGCGGAAGTCACACGACGCTGGGAGCATGCGCGCTAGAGTTTCTAGAAGGATCATGACTTATCGGGGAACCTCGCGAACGTCCCAGTGTTTGCTAGACGCCCTCTGTTTTAGTATATAAGCCAGCGATAGATAGATATGCAGATAAATTGAAGATAGAAATAATTGAGTCAAGCGAACAGTAGGCACTGTAAGTAA